GTGGTCAGACACTGGAATAGACTGCCTAGGGAGGTGGTTGAGTCGCCATCCCTGGATGTGTTCAAGTGTCGTTTAGATGTGGTGTTGGGTGATATGGTTTAGGGGTGAACTTGTAGTGTAGGGTCAATGGTTGGACTTGATGATCCCAAGGGTCTTTTCCAATCTGAATTGTTCTATGGTTCTATGATTCTATGATTCTATGATTAAATTAATTTTAATTGAATGGATTGTATGGATGACAACTTGAAAAGGACTGATGGGTAAGAAAGAGAACAACTGTGAAAAGATTTGAAGATAAGGGCAAGATATTTAATCTGGTATTGCTGCATGTCATTCAGCCATAAGAATTAAAGGGTATTTGATGAAGATAATACACAGGAAGGGTGATTTTCACAGCTATGTTTTGTGTGACACCAAGGCTGTGTTACTTGTAAACTGAACAATCCCAGGGCCTCCATTGTGTCCCTGGGGTCAAATAGCACACTCCAGCCATGCTCATACTGCTAAACTCTCTTGTCTTCCAGAAAACGGTTGCTGCATCTGGACCTGGCCTGGGTTAATTCCTGAATTGTGCCCAGGAACTGGTTGGCAGAGTGGCAGTTTGCCTGGGCCTGCAGTGTGCCAAGGAGTGACCTAAAAATTTAGCACTGCAGTAGGTCAAGTGCCAGAGCTCAGGAACATTTGCTGTCACTGTTTAATTTCCTAGGATAGACTTTGAGTGCAATGTAGGTGCTTAAGAGGGAAGGGTTTGTAGTGAGGAATTGTGAATGATCAAAATGTTAACTGAAGGAAAGGGAACACTGAAAAATGTTACTTATCATTTTCCTGCATCGCATTTTAAGTCATACCAGCATCTTGGCTTGCTGAAAAAGATGGCTACTCTTACTTTAGGACTCTGTTAAATTTGTAATTAATACCCTCGATTCACTGTCTGCCACACACAGAGTTGTGGAAACCTCTGAAGGTTGAGCCTTCTACCACAGTCTCTTGAGCATGACAGTATTTTTCAGTTTTTAGAAGATTGTTGTTCTTCCAAAAGGCAGTATTTCCACTGTGGCTTTTTGCAAATAATTTTGTTTATAAATGCATCTTTGTGTTTGTTTCTTTCTAGGTAGGGATGAGATCCCGAAACCAAGGTGGAGAAAGCCCGTCTAACGGGCGCTTCTCCAGTGCCAAGCCTGTCATCGGCCACGCAGAGAACGAAAAAATTCAGGATGATGCCAAGAAAAAGAACAAACCTCATCAGAAGGAAGATGAGGTCATGGTTTCAGCAACTGTCAAACGGCACTCAAAATCACCTGGACCTACTGAACGAAAGAACAAGAAATCCATAGAACTTTCTAAAGAGGACTTGATAAAACTCCTCAGTATAATGGAAGGAGAACTGCAGGTAAATTAAGCATAATTTTTACTATATTTTCTATGTATCTATTTAGTTTTAGGTTGTCCAAGATGCACAGGGCTCAACTGATGGTGACACGTATATTTAAGGCAAAGCACCATAAGGAGAGAGCAGTGGTAGTTGGTGTTTAACAGGATAGTCACAGTTTTAAGTATAGCTTTATTTACCATCTCTGTCTGCAGCTACCAAAGCAAGAGAAATCATAAAGACCTGTCACAACTGATAAAGAAAGTGGGCTGTGAAGGTCTTGAACACTTAAAAACAGGTAGGAGACAACCACAGGGGAATCAGTTTAGAAAAAGGCAAGCAAATAGAATGAGTACAACTATAATATTTAAGGCAAATATCCAAGGGACAAATCTTCAAGTCAGAAATATGGGGGAAAAAAAAGGACTTAAGATGGCCCCTGGACCTTGTGCATATTCAGATGTTGCTCAGGGCTCAGCCAAAGCTCTGCCTGGCCTGCCTGACCTGCCTGGCCTCTAGCACTCTGCACATTCCTTGCCTTGCAAAGGACTGTTAGTTTTATTTCTTGGGGTAGTGCTCACTTGAAAGTGTTCACAGTTGTCCTGATTTGCATGTTTATTCAGCCCAGGAGTAAGTCCTTGATGGCTGTCAGCCTGATTTTGTGCTTAACTCATACCCCTCAAATTTTCATCCAGTTTTAAGGATTCTCTTACTTGCTAATAAATCACTGAGCTCTCAGGAGTCTCAGACTTCAGGGAAAATGCTATTTCAAAATTAAATAAATGAAAAAATGAAATTAAATGAAGAGCTGAAATACGGTATTTCAAAATGTCAATATGAAGACTTCAGACTTTTCAAAGCTTATCCCCTTTGGTCATAGGACTTTATACATTCTTATCTTTGCCTTTTAATGACATCTTTCACTGCAGACAAGCAGAAGAAAACTGCCCAACCTGTGTGAAAACATCTTACATCTCAATCCCTTTATTTTAGTTAACCATCATTATTTACTGTTTCATATAAGGCTTTATGTTTTCCCTGAAACCCACATTCATAACATTTTCACTTTAATTTTGGACATGTTATCATCTTATCTGATTAAGAGAAGCTATTGTTTTGGAAGTGATCAGCTAATTTCTTTGGTATACGAGTCACTTGAGTTGCACCTTTACCACAACACTGAGATTTCATCTTATTAAGTGTCACTCTTCCTGTATGTAATTCACCTTCAGTTTGTCAGAAAATACTTTCATCTTCCAAGAAATATGCATTCAAAGCAAGTAATTCTGTCACAAAGACAGAGAAAAGTCATTTTGCAGTGAAAAAACTGGGGAAAAAAAGCAAGATAATCTGTTGAATGCAATTTTGCAAAAGAAAAAAAATTATCATTACGGAACAGTGTGGATATTTACAGTACTTTCTTTTACTTCATACAAATATGTTGCATACGTAATTCCCTAAAAGATGGAGCTAGCATGCAGCTTCATTGGTGAATAGAGCCAAACCTCAGTAGAAATGCATCATGCTCATGTCGTTCCAAAAGACTTGCCCTGAAGCCACCTTTGTGGTCTGGAAGGGGAGGCGAAGAAAGTCACTAATGTGTCCTGGGTGGCAATAAATGTGGTCTTTATTCACATTTCTACGTAATTTTCCTGTTCAAGATACAGAAATGTGATTCTTCTCCAAAGTCTTTTACTTTGTGGCGGAGTTACACAAACTTTAAAGGACCGCCCATGTTCTCATTATCCCTACGAGGATGCTGGGAATAGCTGCCATCTACACTGTAATATGGGCTGAAAATCCTCACCAAGACAATACTCCAATTGCCCTGGACAGTACTTTTAGGGATATTCATACAAACCCCACAGAGGTATTAGGCTCTGCTAAAGCTTCCCAGCATCATGGGAGGATCATAAGGACAGCCACGCTGGTAATAATAGAGTGCATCTGCTCTTCTGCTCTGTGCTACCAGGCAGGGAAGAGAATCATTATTCTTTTTAATCCATAGGAGTTTTTAATTTCATTTCAAAACTCCCTACTTTAGTTAGTTATTTACCTGGTACCTGTGCTGAAC